GAGGAGAATTGATCCTTTGCTCGGCGCACATAAGGTATTATCTTCACCGATTGTGTCTTCCCAAGTATAGGAAACTTCTCTCGCACTCGCCTCCTTCTCTTTTCTCTTTCTTCTTCTCTTTCAGCTAGAGCATGAGGGGTCAGTGCAGACCGTGGCTTCTAATCTTTCCAGTAGGAATCATTGCCTTCTTGCCCTAGACACATGAGAGTTCCTACCGCTTCTTCCTTCATCTCTGTTCACTCTCTCGACTATTCTCTTGTATTTCTTGTTCCTATGATCGTTTAACTATTGCAAATTTATGCTTCGGAATGTTGGATTTTCAACTATGATGGGGTTATTTGAAAGAGCATAAGCTTTACTGTTGAAACTTATGCTTTGGAATGCTGGAATGTTTGTGAATTTTGATTTTACATTGGTTCACATGCTGGGAATCAAATTTGTGTTTCTAATGGGGCATTTACATACATACAGGGATTGATTGCCTCAGATTTTTGGATATTAATGAGGTTGAGTTGGTATTCATTACACTGCATAAAAGTGGCTACATATATGTTCTATAAAACCAAAAGAAAAAAAAAAGAAACCTTTGATTCATGGCTCAATTGAGTGATCATACTTTTGGCTGAATTTGGTTTTCAATTTGCATAGTATTTGTTTAATGCAATTTGGTTTATCATAATTTAGTGTGATATTATATTTTAGCTTGAGCATTGGCATTGCTTTCTATGAGTAGCTTGGCAAATTTTTTCACTGTATAGCAGTAGCAAGGAAAAATATTATCTTCATTTTTACAATCATTTTTCATAATTTTGCTGTCAAAATGAGGATCAGAAGAATGCATCAGTTATTTTTATATTATATTTGAAACAACAAGATGTTGAAATATTTTTTTTTTGTTACAGCAAATGGATGAAGCCTCTAATAGCTTCATGAATATCTCTTTCATTGCATTCAGAGAAATAAAAAATGAATATGCTCGACATTGGCTTAAGTTGAGCTACTTTTATTTGTTAGTTGAGGTACTTTTATTAACAGCAAAGGGAGAAAAAAAAGAAAACATATGAAAAACTGATTGTATCGGGTTATACTGAGAGCATGTTGTACTTTCATAGCTATATAACTTTACACAATTGCATAATAAAACATGTTTGATGTCTTACTGTGGATGTAGGTCTTTGATCGAACCACAAAATTCTTGTGTCCTTATATATATATATATATATATATTAACAATTTTATACTTCATTTGTGTTGGAGGAAACTTTTATGTTCTTCATGTATTCAAAGTTTCTTGTGTTAAGTATGACTATGTGGAGTTACAATATGAATTTTCTTAGTAATTTGGCATATGTTAAGCATAATAAAATATGAATTTCCTTAGCAATTTGGCAACACTGTGGAAATGTTTTGTGTATTGGGTAATGCAAGTACATATTTTCTTTTATTTCATATAGTTCCAACATGTCTAAGGCGGTTGAAGGAGGACTGTCTGCTAAGTGGGATAAAGAAGAAACAAATATTTTTTGTGATCTGAGTATTAAAGAAATAGAACCGAGAAATAGGTCAATCACGTATTTCAACAAGGAAGGTTGACAAAATATTGCTAGAAAGTTTAAAAAATTGACAGGGAGGGATTATGACAGTCTCAACTTTAAAAATAAATGGGATCAGTTGAATGAGTGAAAAATTTGGAAGGAGCTCAAACGTTGATCCATATGGTTGGGTTGGGATCCCGTTAAGCGAACAATCGATGCTCCAAATGAATGGTGGGCTGAAAGATTAGAGGTAATAAATACAATCTTATTTTGTTAATTCCAGAATTTTTTGGTTAATTCCTAAACCCCTCAAATTCCATTCACTGTTGCAGGTCATGCCAACAGCCAAAAAATATAGGAAGCACGAAATAGAACCAGAGTTCGAGGAAAAATTGGGCAATATGTTTAACGGGGTTATCGCGACTGGAAAACATACATTTAACCCAAGTGAATTGAGATTTGCAGGAATATCAGATGACTTGCCAACTGAACAGGTTATAGCTGATGAATAAGGGCCTAGTATTAACCAAAAGAAGATGGAAGAGTCTAGTTCAATGTCCAAAAAGCCCAGGCTTGACAGGAGGAAGAAAGAGAAGGATAGTTTCGTGAAAAGCTCATTTGATCAACTAATTGCTGCTTTTTCAGCTCTGCCTCCCCTAGCTCTTTCTGACAGCACTATTTGGGACTGCGTTGTCATTTTAGATATTATTCCAGAAGTAACTGTTGATATGCGCTTTCAGGCAAAATGTGTTAACAAACTTGATGACCCTACTTTTAGGCAAATGTTCATGGTGTTATGACCCGAGTTGCACATTGAATATTTACGTGTTTTAGTATAAGAATGAGTCTATTTAGTATTAAGGTGTCACTAGATATATTTCATTTTATGTAATTCAATTTCTGATGTTTTGTACACTTGAACAATTCATGTAATTCATTTTTTGATGCTTTGTACTCCTTGATGTTTTTACTTTTTCATTTTGATGTCACCACATCTCTATAAATTATTTCATCTTAATGCATTTCTAATTTCAGGATGGATCCACAACAAAAACGTCGTAAAAGAATGACATGGGCTGCAGCTATAGTGATATTATTGGTGGAATACTACCGTTCCAGCACTAGACGGATACCACGCATGACGTCCTCATATGTCAGGGACAAATGGGTGGGTGAGATGCTTGTTGGACATCCGATAAGGTTCAACAATATTTTTTGAATGACTGCGCCCATTTTTATGGATCTTCTACGCGACTTATGTCGTAACCACGACCTCGATCGTTCTTCGATTGAACTAAACATTTATTTGTCATTTGAGGTGTTGGCTATAACATTATACATTCTTTCACAGAACGAATCAATTAGAGATGCTATGGAGAGATTTCATCATTCATCAGAAATAGTAAGCCGTTCGATACTTCTCCAAAGGTATACAAGCACTTGTGAGCTTAACAGCGCAAAGCCAGCTGATTCATCGTTCGCAACTATTTCTGAACAAATTGCAAATGATTTTTGTTACATGTCATATTTCAAAGTAAGATTATTAGTTTATTACTTTAGTTTCATAACATGTTGAATTGCTAACTATGAGTAACAGAACTACATTAGAGCAATCGATGGTACACATGTAGATGCCTGACTACCAAGCCACGAAAAGATCGCTTACATTGGTCGGAGTGGTACAACTACCCAAAATGTAATGGCAGTGTGTGACTTCAACATGTCCTTCACATTTATAATGGCGGGATGAGAATGAAGTGCACATTACAGTCATTTTTTTATGCAACTAGGAATAAAATACAGTGTTTCTCTCACTTACCTCTAGGTTTGTCCATCTCACTTAAACCTATAAATTACATGTATTATTTTTCATTAATATTCTCTTTCATTACAAAGAATTATTATTTGGTTGATACTGGATATCTGATGATGAGGGGTTACCTGAAGCCCTATCCAGACACCAGATACCATATTCATGATTTTGAGCGAGCAAGTGACATGATTCATGGTAGAAAAGAAATGTTTAACAAACGACGCTTCTTTTTACATGAGGGATACCATATTCATGATTTTGAGCGAGCAAGTGACACGATTCATGGTAGAAAAAAAATGTTTAACAAACGACGCTTCTTTTTACGTGAGGTTATTGAAAGAATATTTGGGGTGTGGAAGAAGAAATGGGTTATCCTACGTGATATGTCGTTGTATTCATTTCTCAAACATGTGCATATTGTGGTGGCTACTGTGACACTTCACAACTTTATTCGACGACATCCCTCTCAATCAAATACGGACTTCACTTTGGCTGATGACGATCAACTTATTGACTCTTCAAAACCTTCAGAATCTCTCTTTGGTCAATCATTACCCGAGGATGAGATCGAGTCGATTGAGCGATTGAGTTTGAAGCTCGGGACGGTGAAGGTGTAACCGAAATGGTTGCTTTGAGGGAGTCTATCGCAGATGTTATATCTCGATGTTGATTCAGTCACGCTTCTTTATTTATTATATGTTCATTTGGGATGTAATTCATTGTAATATGGATTTATATTTTTTGGTTTTATTAAGATTTTTGTATCTTTCATTTTGGGTGTAATTCGTTTTTGCATGAATTTGCATTTTGTTTTAAATTATTTGGTTTTT